TGGAAGAACACCTTAAATCACAGTTTATGACAGAAAATAAAATCTATCAAAGTGTTCTCTCCATTTGCATGCACTAGGAGAGATTGTAACCTTTGCAAAGAACAACTAATATGAAACAAATCTGTTTCCAGATTGAACACACAGCTATTAAATCTTGAAACAGGCAGCCATAAAGCTGCACTGATTCAGCTGAGGCAACCATTTACCAATTCACACTTTTTGAGCAGCAACTATTGGAAAACAAAGCACATGTACCAGGAGAAAGAGGCATTTAATGCTGCTTCCACCTACTGAAACATGTTCTTTAAATCTGGTTTCATGGTTGTTTATAAAGGACACTTAGCTGCCATCTGCAAATTCATTTAATTTCTGCTGTGTCTGAACAAAAGCAGATAAAAATCTTAATAGTTTAAATACAGTCTTTTTTTTTTTTTTTTTTTTTTTTGTACCATTAATAGAGTTGCTTGTAAATATTTCAGCAAATTCTAATTCAGCACATCCTGAACTTAGATTTCTACAGATTATCCTTCTGGAGGAACAAACTACATGGTTTATTTCATATGCAAAAATACCAAGTGATATAAAACTATTTTATGTAAGACTAGTACTCTGATCATTAAATGGAAAAAAGAATTTTCCCCTTAAACTTCTGCCTTCCTTAAATGAACTTACATTCTCAGTATTTTAACACTAGGACAAAGTAACTTTTTAAAGGGTATGTACATGTTTTTATACATATGATCTAAATGCTGGGGAGGAGATTTAGGCAGTACCTAAAGTGGATGGAATAGTGGGAAGTCAATTAGCTTGGGGAGCTCTATAGAGCAAATTCACAACAGCCCAGAGAAACACAGAACATTGAGAACTGGGGTGAAAGATAAAATTCTAAATGGATTGTGAAAAGAATTTAGCAACCCTCTGAAGAAATAACAGAAAGTATAATAAATGGAAATCTGACCATGAACTTGCCACCAGTGGCCATATCCAAGGGTCTTTAAACCTCTCTTTGGGCTCTAGTAATTACTACAGGGCTCTTCAATTAAGACAAAAAAAAAAAAAAAAAAAAAAAAAAAAAAAAAAAAAAGATAAAGAAAGCTAAGTGCTAGAGTTGGCCAGAGTTGCAGAATTGGGACCTTGTATTATTTAAATTTAAATTTCTATGATTTTAATCTAGGAAAATATTTTGAGTGTGTGATTTTAATCTAACAACCCATTCCGTAGTTGCCTGAAGTCTGGATTACAAAACACTGTTTCCACCACGAGCAACACAAAGAAACATTGAACTGGCCTACTGTACCTACTTACCTTTTTAAATGCTTCGGGCATGCATCTGTCCATAAACCTCTTGCAATTCTCATCAGAATCAGAAAGACCTTCACAGAAAAAAGAGTGCTTTTTAACAGTATTTTAAAAAAATTACTTTTTAAGATGACCTCAGAGACCTTGTTGCAAATTTGAGGGAACACCAACCCAAACTAGCAGTAGTAAAAGTGCTACTGTTCCTTCATAACTAGCATGCTATTTAAGCCACAAAAAGCATGACTTGAGAGAGCTTGCCTTTCAGAACTAAGAATTAATTTCCCAATACCTTTTACAGTTTATTCAAGCATTATTAACACTGTAAGTAACTTGTAAACTTCAGAGTTTACAATTGATACATTATATGTATAAATTCACAGCCTCCCTCCAAAACCAAATTAAAGCACAGCCTTTTAACACAGATTGGAAAAGGAGAAGCAAACCAGAACCACTTAACAACTTCTATTCTTCCAAGAGATGACAACATTCTTTTAGTCTGCCATCAGGCACGACTGAAAAACTATTCTGTACTCTCATTATACACCAGTTGTTGGGTGTGGTTCCTCCATAATACTCTTAAACCCAGCCAAAGTACTGAGTAAGAAGAGTCAAATTCAGATCTAATGCAATATAAGCACTTCACCAGGGAAAAGCAACCACTTATACAAGAATGGTACAGCAGAGTTTGAGATGACAGCTTGCTTTTATGCATGGAAAATACCCAGCACAAGGAAAACCAAAAAACTCAGTAATTTAGCTCAGAAAAAATGTAATTCCCACAATTATTAGAACATAAAGAAACATGTGTGCCACTTTTTGAAAAAAGCTTTAGTAAACAAATTACTTTAGAGAGAAAGAAAAGAGATCAATGATGTTTTTACAGCATTGGGTAGAACAGTTCACTGTTAAACACTTTCCAAGAGATGTGATTGCTGTGCAGGGTGTAAGTAAACAGCAGCAAGATTAAAGTGAAAGATGCAACTGCCCAACATTCTGTCTGTGACACCCTCTGAACATATAATCTGTGTAATTGTGAAAGGGAACTTACCCAGTCTTGCCAGGTAGGTGGATGCAATTAGGCACTTGCCTAGAGACTCCTCCCTCTTGTAGGGTATGGACCAGTGATCTGTCAAAACTCTGCTCTCCAGCTCATACAAGTTGGTTGTTGGAAACTCAATCCCTTCACCAGAGCAATTCCCATTTTCATCATTTTTCTGTGGGTGAAAAAAAAAAAGTTCAAGCAAAACAGTTTCCTAGACACATTAAAGGGTTTAGAAAAGGCAGCTGTGCTTGTAACAAGCATGTCAAATTCTCAACCCTGAGGCTGCTTGTGTTTTTCAAAGTAGAATTGAATATTTCAATTTGAATTGAAGGGATTACATACCTGGATATATTTCATGGAGGTGATAACTACTATGTTTACATAACTAATTGCTAACTAATTGCCTATTTAAGCAGCAAATCTTGTTCCATAGCATATCAGATCCTAGAGCCAGGTAAGTACTTTCAGTCCCTGGAGACCGTAGAGTACAAATTTTGATCTCCATAGATCTGCATGTTAATCCTCTGTTCAACAACTGTAGAATACGGGAAAAGTTTACTCTAAGGGAAGTTCATTGCACCCCATCACACCAGAAATATAGGATACTGTTTCAGTACATCAAGATTTTCTTTAACTAATAATCTAAAGAAAAAACAACATCAAATATAGTTGTCCAACAAGTTAATGTAATTGTCCTCCTGAAGTCATAATGAGTTACTTGGAAGGTAAGAGGCAAAAGGAAGGCAGGTGACTGCAGCTAAGCTTTACAGGTCTCCTTGCTCGGGCACTAAAGAGCAGCTATTTCTGTGTACAGGACACAGAATTACCCCCTGCTCTCCACTAAGTGCCATATGAGGTAACTGCCTCAGCAGCGACAAAGAAAGAGTAGGCAAGTTATTCATTTATTTTCTTTTGTTTATTTTTTAACTTCCCATAAATGCCAGCTACCCAATGTGTCAAAGAGTTCACAAGGACTACCTTTCCCTGCCTCCACAACAGCAGGCAAAGCCAGCAGGAGAAAGGACAGAATGTCTGGATCAGGCCTGGCAGCGAGCAGGAGCCACTGTCAGAGACAGTGGAAAACAAGAGCAGTGATGGTAACAAGATCCCACTGAGAAAGAAGCCAGGGACATGGAGGGAGAAAGGACAAGCAGGAAGCACATTCCAAAGTAAAAACCAGACAGTAGCAGGAAAGTGAATGGAACAACTAGAAAGGAATAAACCAAAAGAAAGAACTGAACTCTGGAGGAGATGGTATACCAAGAGCAAAATCAATGTATGCACACAGGTGTGCTTCCAGCTCTCTCACTGCATTTGCTATTTGTAGGATTAGACCTGATTTTAAAAAGTGAGTGTGTAATTCATTTTCATAATGGTTCAAAACTATTAAGCCAAGGGAACAGCAATTGTGCAGAGCTTAACCTTTAAAGTTCATGGACAGCAGGCAGGCAGGACTTACTAATGTTCTGCAGAGCAGCAGGACAATTTATAGGAGCAAAACACTGCTTAGAAAAAAAAAATATATTGGTGTTTGGGAAATTAAGCACTGCCTTTCTCCAATCCCCTACTAAACACTTTGTCCTCAGTTTGTCTTTATGGGAAGTTGTACTTTAGAAGACCTGAATATCAGCTTCAGAAACTGTGGTCACCTGATCCAGCACTGTGCATGGAAGCCTGATGTAATTCCCATCTAGCAAATCACACCCTGTTTAAATACTTCAGGTTTTGGAGAAGGGCTGTTTGAAAGTCTACATGAAAAGACACTGAAATTATTCAGAAGCATTTTTTAGGAATTAAACTGTTAATTATAAAGCTTCTGTAAAGAACACCCATGCAGAAAACAAAACCGTTTCCTACACAAAACAAGTGTGCAGTTATAAAGAAAGTGCTCACAGTAACAGAGCAGGAATGAGCTTTTAATATCATAAAGACAGACTGAGTATAACTTAAACACCCAATTGCTGGGCATTTAAGGACTGCAGTTCAACCTCCACCTGTAGCCAAGGAAAGTGACATTTCAACAAATGTTGCAGAAAGAGAGCAATAGTTGCTTCATTCCCTGGAGGAAAGTGTCCACATTAACTAAATGCTGCGACAGCAACTGGTATAAAGAGGTGCAGAATAGCAATGCAGACCTTCAACTGTAGAAGAAAAACTCCATTTCTTGTTCTGCTTTCCCATCTGCATCCAAGCAATGCTGCTCATTAGTTGTCTGTTTCCACACAAGTGATTGCCAGGGGCCATGACACAGAAATTCATATGGAAACTGAAACAATACATGTTCTTCACTGTACATTCAGCTCCCACATTATCCTAAATTATGCTCAGAACACATCTGGACTATTGCTAGATTGAGTCTACCAAGAGTGCAGTGAAAAGATGGTTTTACACAAAAGATGAGTGTGGTATTTGGAACATTGCCCTAATAGTAATGGGAACTATTTGCATTGAAGGAGCATGCTTTTGGCACTTTCCAGGAATCAGAGGCAATGAGGCTTCTTGCTTGACAGTGCTCTGCTACTAAAACCATGTGCAGAAAGTATCATGTTCATTTATTAATTTTAGAACATATCGCATCCACATAGCTTCACAGCTACTGTGAAACCTGTGACAGCCTCAAACACACACCCAGGCAGTTTAAAACCCAAATTCTCCTCCAAACCATTAATAAATTTAACACACTGCATTTCTGGGAGATTACAGCTATGTTCACATTATATTAGTACAGACTGAGTTGTGTTTCTTAAACCAAATCCACGACAAGAAACAGTCTCCTTAAAGACTTACTGCTGCTCTTTCATAATTAGTGTCTTTCTGCACATGAAAAAGCCCAAACTGTTCACCACCCAATTTTTAAATCAATTTGGGCACTGCTCTTTAAAGTGAGGGATTTATTACCAGCAGCTGCTGCAGCAAGGTGAAACGTCAGCTCAGTTCTTGCATCATCTTATGCTGGCTGGAGATCTGCACACAGATCTCACACTCCAACACAGCCTGGAGAATTCAATTCTCTGCTGACATTCGCAAATGCAGCACAGCCCTGAACACGTATCCACAATGAATGCTCTGTAACTGAGGAGCTCAAGAACTGTCACTGCAACTCGACTGACAAAGGCCCATGGAGGAAATACAAGATTTTGAAGAAAAATTATGGTATATGCAAAAGTAAATAGGATACAAGGCCATGTTAGCCTCCCAAAAAGTGATTTTCTCAGTCTTGGCTTTGGGGAATTACCTGGGGTTTGTTTGCTTGTTTATAAATATATATAAAGAGTTATCTTCCTCCCTTCAAATAGGTGACTTCAGAATGCTGTCTGCCAGTTGGTGATGATCTGTATCAGGACTCCGCAATTCTGGCTGAGCAGACTTAGACTGGCCCCCAGCATGGTAAGGATTTGTACAGATGTTCTTCCATAGAATAGCAAAAAGCAAAAAAAAAAAAAACAAAACCCCACCCTATTCCTCGTAACCAATAGGTCATCCAAAAATAAACTGTCTAAAAGGCTGCTACAACCACTCTTTTCTGCAGTAGGAAGTCATAGTGCACATCATAAATCTGTGAGTATTTCTGCAGCTGAAATAGTGAGGCCAACAAACTTTTGCTGACAAACCTTTAATATGGTTTTCCATGCCTTCTGATATATCTCTTACTGCACAAAAGCCCTGAAGATCCCCTCGTTCTAACAGTCTTGACTCTCCTGGCTTATTTTCAAGGTGTGAAAATGCAGTTATGGCTAAACACACACCCAGGCTCCCAGGAGAAATACCCTCACAGGAACAGGCTCATGCACTGATTCAAGATTCCCTCTCTGAGGACCTGGCACCTCCTAGATTTGCTTGCAAGGCTGAATAAACAAAAATTGTCCAACATCTGATCAATAAAGCATTGCTTAAATCTGTAGCATAAAACCGTCTACTGAAGAGTAACACAGAACAAAGACTAGCACAAAAAGTGATATATGAATTAACTTTAATTGCCAAAAGGTCACAGATTAAAGCTTCAAAATGTATTTATGAAGAATTCAGCTAATTAACTCATCAAACACTGTTTAACTAAAGCCACTGACAGTTCCCATACCAGTCACTTTACATAAAATAACAAGGAGTTTAAGACTTGTTTTGATTCTAATTGGCAGCCTTAGTAATGAAATTAAAGTCATAATTTAAATTAGTTAATTTGATTTTGATAAGAGGCTACCAACAGAATCTATTCACCATAATAAATCACATGTGCTGTTGAATCCAGTATAACTTAGGAAACAAAACCCCAAAGTCTGGTTTCTTTCAACAAGCAACAGGATCAGACTTTCTAAGACACCAGCAGACCAAACAGCTACCTCCACCTCATGCCTCTCTAATAAATAATTTTCACAAAATAACCATCATTTTATAGCCAAGAAAACAGATTTTTGAAGTTTCATTGCATTGTTAAAAAAAAAAACAACCACAAAAACCTTGTTACCATGTACCTACAAACAGGACAAAGTTTAACTGTTCTGAAAAGCAGTAATGAAAAAAACACATAAAGCCACAAGTAGCTGACAAAAATTTTAGGTCCACCTTTCAGTTTTTATCACAGACATAGTCAACATAAAGAAATCAATTTTCCAATGCTACAGCTTTTCCAGCTGCCAAGTGTCAGCAGGGATGCTGCCTTCTCCACAGCACTGCTGCACTACTCACAAGTGTTTGCAGAGCACTGCAATGCTCAGGTGGAGGCAAGGTGAGAGGAATACATCAAATACCCACAAAAACAGAGCATTTCTCTGTTCTGATGGACTGTGCCCATCAATATGAGGGAGAAGCTATGAATCCTGAAGTCATGACCTGACAGTCCCTCCACCTACCAGACTATTGATTAAAGCACTTTTTAGTTTCACACCTGGATGTCAAACCTTTTTTTCTGTTAATTAACTCCTAAAAGGGGGATATTCCACTACCTAGAACTCAAACACAAGTGTAAGAATTCAAAGCCTTTCAAATACCTCAAAGCTACCACCTTGCACTTACACATAAACACTAAGAGCAAGGTATTGAATGTTTAAAAAAATTGTCACATTTTCATACCTGTAACCTGTCTGCTTTTTATAAACTGGTATTCCAGATGGTTAAAGAACTTTTATCTCTTGTTGAATGGCAGATGTGGGAACAAAATTGGAGAGTATTTCCTAGCTGCCTGTGCCTGCACTCAGATTGAATCCACTGGACCCACACTGCTAAGAGCAAGCTTGGAATCCTCCTGTGATAATGTCAGTATTAGTAAGACTCAAAAAATAGTGTCATGTATGGAATTTCCACATTATGTTTCTTATCTGGCAATAAGAAAACCCACTGTGATTTCCTGAATGTTTTACTGACAAACAGACATTTACTTGCAAAGTACTGTCACAGTTTTAAACTGTTTTAAGTCCTAAAGAGATACAGCATCTCACCCTTGAATTTTCATCCAGAGAAACATATTTGGATGCAAAAATTTTAAGTGCAGCAACAGACAGGAATGTTTTTTGTTGTTTATGTTCTGCTGAGAGAACATAAGCTTGTTGGTGAGATACACAGATGTTTTGGTTTGTTCTTTTTTCATAGAAATGAAGCTCTAAAAATTTCTACTATGAACTACTTTACACAAAGAAATACAGTCTTGTCACAAGAAAGAATGCTAATATTTTGTCATGCCAATATAAAAGGACAATACCAATCTACTGCTACAGGAAAATAAATCCTCTTTTACAGACTCCACCTAACTGAAGTTGATCTGGACTATCATCCCATCATAGAAAAACCCAATTTATTTAGTGAAATTTCTCACAGAAGGTTTTAGACACTGACCTTAACTGAGAGTTGCACTAGGACACCATCAAGGACGCAAGTTTAGACTGAACCCTTAGTAGCCATAAAGGATTATAACAAATTATAACCAAAAAACCCTATGGCTGCACCTTCCCTCTGCCCCATATCTCTTACAACCAAGAACTGTGTAAGGCTGGGAATAAAAACACAATATGAATTTGAAAAATAAAAATAAATTCAGCAAAGCTGAGAATTAACTCAGAGTTTCTGGAAACATGGCGTGTACTCTCTCCCTGATTTCCAGAGTGATGGTGTGATGTTACCAGGCAATACTCCCTGATGTACTTGCCTGCTTGTTCAAATATAAACATAGTCCTGAGCATCACAGCAAAACAAAACAACCGAGGCTCTGTAAAAATAGCACTTGAATTAAAATTTCCATTTAACTTCAAAAATATAAGGAGCTTCTTTGCCCTTTTATACTGCTATTACCACAGTATTCATTGAAATCTGAGGCAGAGATTTACTACAATCACTTTTGGCAATGTATTTTGAAGTCTGCTAAGTTGTAGGTGGGAGAGAGGTCATGGAAAGCACTGTTAGGAATGCCATTCATAAGGAACCAAGGAAAACACTTATCTTCCATGTGTTTTCACTATTGTCTGTGGATATATTTAAAAACTGACTCCATTAGTGTAACTACAAACAGCCAGCCTCAGAGTCAACACCATTATTCCTCCCAACCCTCGAGTTTTCATAAGCACAAAACCTCATGCTTGTTCCAAATAACTCAGAATAACTTAGTGTGATATCAGCTAAACATTGTGCTTAAAAACAATAAAACAATGAATCACAAACACTTAACATTTCAGTACTTAAAATTAAGTCAATACTTGCATCTTCCTTTGCCAAAACACCAGGAATTAATAGAGAAGTGCTGCAGAACCACCATATAAAGTATTTACTGTAACATTTTAGTGACCAAAGGCCAGGCTCTGGAAAGGGAAATAATGCTGCTAAACACTTATATATACTTTTGTTCTACTGATGCATAGTGAAACAAACCAGAAATGACAAAGCAGCTGATTTTGACAGTGCATAATTCCAAAATTGTGACTAACTAATAAGAAAAAAAAAACTCTAAATGCCTCTCAAGATCGTTCTGCTGGGCACCAGAAAAGCCAGAACTGTTGTAGTGTCAGGAAGATCAAGTGGCAAAAACCACTGGGAACACTGGCTTTTAAAATTAATTTTTAATTTGGCCCCTGAAACATATATACCAAAGGCTATTCCTACAGCAGCACAAATACGTGTTTTTTTCAAAATAAAAGCTTACAAAAGAAACAGGCACTTCCTCTTTGCCCTCCTCATACAAAGAGCTACTGTTCCTTAATCCAAAAGCAATCCAAATGATTTGCTGGAATTAACTTCTAACACTGGCTAATTTGTTTTTATTCTCATTCTTCCTCAGTATTTCACTTCCTTATTAAACAGCTGCCACAGAATAGCACTGTAAACTGGGAAGATGACCAAAAAATGCTTCCAGAGGACATTATACCAGAAACACTTCCTGCAGCTGAGAATTTGGCTGTACAGAGCTGTCTCCCACCTTCACTGACCCGGCAGGCATCACCTTCACCAATGAACCAGTAATTACAGAGTGCTCCTCTCAATCCAGCAATTACTCTAACGATCACATTACATGATAATGACTTTGTGAGTTATTCAAAACAAAGCTTGCATTTAAAATTAACCAGCTGCATCTCTCAGTATCACCCCTACTTCCCTAACTTCATGTAGCATCCCTATTAGTCTGTGCTATATCAAGAATGAAACCCAGAGTATTTTCTTTCAAATGCTTTCAAGGAAGTGTTAATGGAATCAGAATATAGAAAGAGGTTCCACACCAGGGCCACTCATTTTTGAAAACAGTGATGCTGAAAACCAAGAGTGCTAAAATACTAATTCCACTTGACATTCTGATGGCATCCAGCCAGGGACTCGATGCCAGAATCCACCACAGAGCTTTATTTGATTGCTTAATTGTTTTACAAGGCCAGTTCGTAGACAAGCCACACTGTAAAACTTCCACATGAGAATGCAAGAAATACTCACTTTTGCAAAGCTCAAGACTACTTACAAGAGAGGAGACTGACTTTAAATGTGCAGCATTGTAGCATGAAATCCATCTAATTTGCTTGAAGGCTAAATACCTCCTTTGTCTTTAAATAAATACAGCTCCTTCCATTCAAAGATCAAAGAACTTCACAAGCCTAACGTCCATGGTTCTCCTAATAAAGCATACCCCATTATCCTCATTTTACACATTAAAAACTAAAGCACATCTGTGGCAGAACTGCTTTCAGTCCTGAGCTTTAATAATGAGGAGAGGTAGGGTTTGAACACCACAGTTCTGCAGCATGACTAGTGAGAATGTTCCTGGCACTGGCACTCACTACGGTCACCGGTCTGCTTTTTTTCACAAAATCCCTTCTCTTGCAGTCAAACAGCACCTCAAAAGCAATCTTGGACAAGTTTTATTATAAATCTTACCTAGTAAAATCTGGCATGTATGAGCTTTTGATCCAGTTCAGCTAAAAAAACATAAATCAAAAGAGCACATGCTGAAGGGGACAGGAATAGCCTGGGGGTAATATAATCTGTTCATCACAATTTAGCTAAAAGGTCATAGTAATGGCTCTCAGAAGCTGTTTTAAAAGCAAATTAAGGTTGTTTTACTGAAGGTTATACAAACAATTGGTATATGTTTAATGTTTTTACCTATCCTCCCCACAATTTCAAATCCTCTAGTCACAACCCCCACATTTGTTTAGCTTCCTCTTCTCCACCCCATTCCTCTCGAACTCATTAAAGCCAGCAATTGTGGCACTTGTGGCAATTCATGGACACACTGACAGACGTTGTCATCACACTCATTTATAGTCTTGTCTTAAATTATAAGGATTCAGCAGCAGTTCATAAAGCAGCTTATCTGTCAATCAGTTGAAGAGATGAGCATAGCATCCTTCACCCGCCTCCCTCGGCACAGAATCACACTGTGACAATCTGCATGTTGCCTAAGGAATAAACACAGAAACCCCACATTCTTGCCAAATTGCAAGATTTACTTCTGTCAACAGACATAAACACAGAAGTTATGTCAAACACACAAAGTCACCTCTTGGAAAGCAGGTGACCTCAGTCTATCAGTGTGGTTTGGTGCTACAAAGGGCAAAACTTCCAAGCAGCTGTAAACCTCAAGGTGAACTTCCCGTGGTTTCAGGAAGACTGCACAAATGAACTGAAGCCCCCTTTGAATTTCCAAGTTTGTCTGGCCTTTTCCTTTTGATGAGTTAAGTGTGGTCGTGCTACCAGCATCAATGCCAAAGGCACACCACAGCTATTAAACTGAAACTGAAACAACGGGGAAACACAAGCCTGCTGAAACTGAAGTTTTAACCTCATGGAATTGAAATTTAGGCACACCTTCACCTCAAGCCTCATACAGAAAGAAAACAAAGGGCATATGTAGGGCCAGCTCACAGCAGATATCTTGCTTCTGGGCCAGTTACTCCAAATTCAGGCTTCAACGCTTTCAGACAGCCCTGAAGACCAGCAGCCTGGACCACTGAAAAAAGATTCACACTGATTTTTACAATCTTATCTAAAGGAAACATGTTTTAACTAGTATGATATGTATCTGGTAGCTGTGCTCCTCTCAAAGAAAACCAATAGACAAGCCTTCCTTTGATCCACATGAATGCTGAACAGATTCTAACATTATGTAATAGAGACCAAATAAGCATATGCAAACATAATGGATTCATTACTGATTAGGGAAAATGTAAAGTGTTTAATCATTCATAGACCTATTCTTATATGCATGCTAAAGTGTGCTCAGCCAAAAAAAAGCATGTAAATTCAAAGTACAGACCTGTTATACGTGTTTTGAAGAATGACTGAAACATTCCTGTTATTTTTAAATTATAACACCTAATCCTAACTTTTGTTCATGAAGCATTAGATTGGAACATTTTACATAGAGGAAATTTCTAACAATTCTTCTCCAGTGATTTATCTTCTCTTTATCTCCTGTTGCTGATATATAAAATCCAAAAATCTAACACACCACTTCCTCCCCACTGAATAAAAGTTAAAACTGGTATTATGAAGAGAAGAAAGAATACACACTTGAAGAGCTGTTAGAAAGAGAAATGATACTGAGAGGAAGAAAACCAGAAATAACATCTGAATTACCACAAGACAGCATGGGGTACAATATGTTTCACCATAATGTGTATGACTACAATGAATAATATAGCTGCTTCTGCAATAGCTTTCTGTACAGCTTCATATGCCATAAGCTTCTGCTGAATGGAAAACTACTGATTAACCTGATTAATTACTGATTAACCACTTAAAGAATAGCTGTAGCTTATTAAATGTAATGTTAGATTACAGCTGACAAATAAAAAAATCCAAGAACTGACCATAAATCACTTTCCCCCTTTCATAAAATGTATGTCAAAAGCTGTTAAATTGTACTGCAGTGTTAGACAAATATGCACAGGCAACAGTTCCAGTCTCAGGACTTTTATAGCTGTAACTCTTTTATTACAAAAATACTGTTTTGCATACACGTGCAGGAGCTGACAGATGCAAATGAATCCAAATACTAAACTGAGGCATGAATTTATATAAAATTTCATGTAGCAAGGCACCTCAATCCTTCTGAAATGCCTGCTCTGTGCAGTGATTTTCCTACATTGAAATGTTTTGACTTCCCTCCTGTGGGTTAAAAAGAACAGAAGTCAGAGCAAACAAGAACATGAGTGGCAAAGGAAACTATTATAAAGCATGAGTAAATTTGATCAGAAATACAGGATGAAATAATGGGGAGGTGGGAGAATCCTCTGAGAGTTGTCAAAGTGCCATTTGTAACGGGAACAAGAGCAGGGAAAAAAGTGCTTCTCTGAAGTTTACACTGACAGCTTCATTTGAAATGTCACACTGACAAGCCAGACTGTCCCAGCTCTAACTACATCCAACCCAAATCCAACAAGAATTCTTATTCACTCTCAATCCTCCACAGGAAAGGTTGGACACCAGTTCCCGGGCGCTTCGGCCAGGGAAGTTAAGGAGCAGCTCCGTTCCTGCATGGTGCACGTGCCATCCCACGGATCACCTTACTCCACAAGCACACACCAGCAGCTTAGAGCAGCTCAGGATCTAACCCAGTTAATTCAGGGAGCAGGATCACCTCTCTTTATTCCACAGGGCTGGACGTCAATACGCCAAGGCTACGGATACGGATGATCTGTGCAAGTGTAGTTACGCACCAGATACGCCCATGGATTCTGCACGAATTTATTTATGGACACGTACACATGCATCCACAGAAAGGGAGCACTTTTCTGGCACAGAAAAACCTCAGCATACTCTTTGCTGGAGCCTGGGAGGGGACATCAGTTCCCTGGCTTTATTCGTGAGCTTAAGCATCTGCTCTTGACCACTTCTTGAGCCAGACACTGCAAGGTGGCCCTTGGTATCACATAGAGGGGCTTTCTGCTGTTCTCACCCTTATCAGTCCCACAGTCTGGACACTACTAATTACCTCTTTTCTTATGAGCACTCTGTGAAGTTTTGGGGAAAAGACCAAGAGGATGAGAAGGCTTTTACAGGAAAGCACTACAAGACTATTCCAGACAGCAAGGAGAGCTCTCTGAGTGTATCTGCTGGCTGAAGTTCTGGAAGAGGATGGAAGAGAGAAAGGCAAACAAGGAGAAGGGAAAGAACCTAGGAAAGGCTGACATTCTCCAGCACTTCTAACTACTTCAGTTTTATTTTATATCACAGTCCTGAGTTAAAGCTCTGTTCTGAAAAACATTTGACCTCACTGGGTTCCTATTTCAAACTTAAACTCAGCTTACCCAAATAAAACCGTACGTAAAGTCATACCCACACTGCGCTTTCCTTCACATTGTGCAAACAGTTTAAAAAAAATAGACAGCCCTTAGTCACCGGGATTATGCAAGAAGGCACAAGAGGGGGAGCGAAAAGCAGAACCCTACGGTAGTCACACATTCCTGAAATGCCAAGGGAAACCCTGCGTGCGCTTCACCTTGCAGCGATCGCAAGGAACGGGCTGGGGAGCGCGCCGGGCGGGCGGCGGGCGGGGAATGCGGGAGGGTGAGGAGCGGCCGGCCCGGGCAGTGGCGGAGGATCCCCGGGCAGCTCCCGCCGGCCCCGCGCCCGGGCCGACCCCCGCCCGTGGGGAGGCTGCGGGAGGCTCCCGCCGCCCCGGGACCGCCCGCCCGCAGCTCACCTCGGTCTCCACCACTTCGTGGTAGGCGGGCGGCGGGTCGAAGCCGCCCCCGCCGCCTCCACCGTCCCCGTCGCCGCCGCGGGGGCCCTGCCCGCCGGCGGGGGAGCCGTGCCCGCCCGGCGGGCCCTGCCCGCTCTCCATGGGCTCGTAGCCGCCGTAGTGGAGGCCGGGCCGCTCGTTGGTGAGCAGCGCCACGGCCTCGTTGATGTCGTTCTTGGCCAGGCGCAGGGCCTTGCGGATGGCGGCCGCGTCCGAGAAGCCCATGCAGAGCAGCGTGGTCATGTGCTGCTCCTCCTCGCTCTCCATGGCCGCGCCGGGGAGCGGGGCAGGGGCAGGGGCTGGAGCAGCAGCAGGAGGAGGAGGAGGAGGAGGAGGAGAAGGAAGGAGGCCGGGGCCGGGGGGAGACCCCCGCGGACCGAGAGGCGCCGGGCTCAGGCGCTGCCCGCCCCGCGCGCCGCCATGTTGCCGGGAGCGCCGCTCCCCTCCCGCCACCGCCGCCGCGGCGGCCGCCCCGCCCCGCCCCGGGCCCACCCCGGGCCCGTCCCCCGCAGCCGCCCCGGGCCCGCCCCGGGCCCACCCCCCGCACCCGCCCCGGGCCCGCCCCGGGCCCGCCCCCGGCCCGGCCCCGGCCCGGCCCGGAAGCGGCGGCGAAGCCGCGGCCGGGGAGCGCCCGCCGGGCCCGCGTCACGTAACGGGGGAGACCGGGGGATGAATGGACCGGCGTGGGAAGGGGGCGTGGCTGAGGGGGCGCGTGAGGGCGGGCGGCGTCGTGAGGGGAGACGGGACCCGGTCCGGGACTGGGGACGGGACCGAGACCGGGATGGGAACGGGAACGGAGATGGGGACTGGGGATGGGAATGGGAGCGGAGATGGGACTGGGGATGGGAGCGGGAACGGAGATGGAGATGGAGATTTGGGATGGGAATGGGAACGGAGATGGGGACTGGGGATGGGAACGGGAGCGGAGATGGGGACTGGGGATGGGAACGGAGATGGAGATTTGGGATGGGAATGGGAGCGGAGATTGGATTGGGGATGGGAACGGGAACGGAGATGGGACCGGGACGACCACGTGGACCGGGATCGGGACCGGGGATCTGGGACCAGGGTTAGGACCGGAGATGGGGATGTGGACGGGGGCCGGCGCCGGGACCAGGCGGTGTCCCATGGACTGCCCTCGGCTGAGGGATGGGGTCGGTTCCTTGGCCCCGCGGGCTCCCGGCCCCTGCCCACAGCTCTTGCCCCCGCAGGGATGGGTGGGAGTGGAGTGGAAGTGCTTGGGGATGCTTTGGCTCCCGGGAGCACATCGTGGAGTTACTGGGATTACGTTCTTTAAGTGTATGATATTAGGAGGAAATTCAGCCCTGTGAGGGTTGGCACAGATTGCCCAGAGAAGCTGTGGCTGCCCCTGGATCCCTGGAAGTGTCCATGGCCAGGGCTTGAAGCAACCTGCGACAGTGGAACGTGTGTCCCTGCCCTTGGCATTAAATGCCTTGCCATTAAATTAAAGATCGAGATGATCTTTAATGTACTTTTCAACTCAAACCATCTGTATATACACAATATACACAATGAAGCAGAGTACAACCAGGAAAATAAAAATTCTAGTGCCCAAAGCAGAGAGAAAGTTGTATATATTCCTTAAACACACTTGGCGAGCTCTTGTACTGCACAGAAGTCAGCAGATCTGGATCTCCTGGCACTCTCCCAGGTTAAATTTATTACCTCATTGTAACAATGTATTTTCTGTGTCCAGAGAAGAGGAGGGAGGAGGAAACAGATAAAAGATTTGTCAAGAGCAGTGCTGGTATCTGCATATAAACATTTGGTTTTGGAGGCTCATGTTTTCAGGCAAACTATTTAGTATTAACAGTGACTGACTCTGGGGTTAGGAATCTAGAAACCCTGTCTGATGTCTCAGATACAAATCACATTCAGCATAAAGGAAAGTTTCAATTGTAGGGGATACAAGCAATATTTAGGCCTCTAATGTGATCTTTCACAGCTTGGTGTTGGTCTTTGAAAGAGACAAACTGAAAGAGATCAGTCTGTTGGACTGGCAGATTTTGGATTAATTTCTAGATTGCAGTATGGCACCAGTGATCTCATTTTCCTTATTTACATTCCTGAAAAGTAATCACAGGTCCTTCTTCTTTCTCATCCCCTCTGAGGTTTTTTTTCTGTAAGCTGACATTCAGTGGAATGGAGATAATGTGCATGTGACTCTCATCTTTACCTTCTGATCTTAGGAAGGTCTTTTATTCAGGCTGATCTCCAACTACAAAAGAAATTGTTATGGCTCAATTTTGGCAGGCTTCAGAAAAACTCCAGCACTTCAAATGCATTCAGTTAATATGCAGAATATTGACTCACTGCTTACTCATGTGACTAACATTTAAATGACACTTTCTCATTTTTAAAGGGTATTACAAATGATGGTTTAGTGCTCACAGCCTGATGAAGTCAGTTGGCATAACTTTCCCCTATGATTGCAAATAAACTTTGTAGGAAAAAGTAAGAAATTTATAAGATGTCATTATTGCTTTTCGAATTATTTCAAGGAAGTGCTCCTGTAAATTTGTGCTGAGCTAATTAATGGAAACTGCACAAGTGATGGAAGAACTAATTGTAATCCCAAGTGGCAAAGAAAGAAGAGGATGCTTTGCCATTAAATTACTCATGCTCTGTAGTCCAACTGTGCTGAAAGAAGTTTGGAGGAAATTTGAATTTACCAGTAGGTGAGAATAACATGTGGACATAGCAGCTCAATATAACTGACAGTGAGGTTGCTGGTACTCAAAGCATTTTTTACAGGCTTCACTGACAGCAGCTCTCTTGAGACTGCTTGAAGGACAAAATCACACATTCCAGCTTGGTGAAGGAATGAGCACATCCTTTTCTAGACCTTATTCAGCCTGGAATTCCCTGTTTGAAAATGTTTTTTTATGCGTTGCCATGTGTAGAAAAGTTGCAGGGAGAAGCAGAGCAAACTTGTCTGAGAACAATGAAAGGGAACAGTCAGTGATTCTCTGAGGGGCACCAGGAGCTGCAAGGAGAAAAGGGAAGGAAGTTAACTGAGAGGGAGAATAAATATCCCTAAGATCTGCCTTTAGATAACTTGGAGTTTATGTAGTTGCCAGTTAGATATTACACACAGTTACAAGTTTTTTTATTGCCTTACCGTGTGAAAGGTAGTAGTTTTCTACTGACTGTGTCATATTGTATATCCTGAGGCATGTCTGACTTAAGAAACCTCTGTGTTACAGAAAAAAAAGATTTTTTGAAGATAACCACTGTTTTGGGAAGTGGTCATGCTGTGACATTGAACATGACCTTTTGGTTTGATCATGGTGTGGCCAGGTAGAATAAAAATAGAGTGTGATGGAGAATTGCCATGACTTCTGCAGCAATGTTACAGTAGGCATGTTTGAATAATTTGTCTTTTTAATGAGAATGCTTTTATGCTTTTCTCCATAAACTTTTAAAAGCCAGTCCTGTGTTTACAGCTCTTTTGCTACTTAAACAGTGAATGCAGTGTTTCCCCTCAAAGAGAAACAACTCTATTGTCTGGTGGAACATACACTCACAGTCAAACTAGGAAGTGACTCTGTCTTATTGAACTTGGAGGTTTCCTTGCTGTTTATAGCTGTTGGGGAATTTCAGCCAAAATACCGTGTACTTGGAAAACACCAATGCCACCCTGATTTTGTTGTACTATCCTAGCCATTGTTACATAAATACTCAGAGATTATTATAGAAGGGACCTAAAGTTCATTATGCTGCCACCAAATCTTCAATTTCATGTGTGTTTTACTCAGCATAAATATGGGAAATCAGGACAAAATTTAATGACAGGATTCTACCACTGATGTGTACATAAGCACAGAAGGAATTGTATGAAACTGGGGCTACAATAGCCAGGAAAAAAATTCCTTTGCAGTTGTTGCATGAGTGAGGAGTGTGTGTGAGCCTGGATGAATCCAACCTCCCCTGTTTGGAAGTCTTTTTCTGACTGATGTTAATGGTTTGGGATGCGAATATAGTTTAATATCTTTACTACATAAAAAAAAAAAAAAAAAAAAAAAAAAAAAAAAAAAAAAAAAAAAAAAAAAAAAAAAAAGAGAGATATTGCAGAACCAAGTATTTGTATAGCATTGCAAAGAATTAATTTGGGTTTTCTGAATGATTTTATCTTTCCTTCCTTCCTTCCTCATATTCCTTGTCCCACCCAGTCTCTTCCAGTTTCCTGTTTCTAGTTTATTTATAGCATAATGTAATAAGTGGATTTTAAGCAAGTGCCTTGGGAAATAGATAGAGAAAATCCCCCTGAGTTATTGAAAATCACATTTCTTATATGTAGGTATTAATGAATTCTGTTTGGTTGCCTTTAGCAGAGAGGTTCAAAGTGTTTATGTAGAGAAAACCTTCATAACCCCCCTCCAAGGTAGAGTTGCAATGGAGAAATAAGAAAGTAGATGTGCAGATGCTTTTGACTCCTCAGGTAGCTGTGCAGCCTCACTCAGAACAGATTTTAGCAAGCACAGGAAGTGTGTGAGACTGTTCACAAGCACCAGCTGATGGATTCCTGCAATACACTTCTGGACTTGGTCTGTGGTAGGAATTTTTGCTGCCTTCACGGTTTTTGTCCATCGAGAAAGGAGATTTGAGCTGGGGCAGCCACCGAGCCTGCTGTCAGCAATGATTTGCATGAGGCAGCTTCCGTGGTTTCAAGCTGGGGCTCATGCACACTAGTAATCATAATTACAATATTTAGCTCAAACATGGTGCTTTTAAGATGGGTATCTAACAAGCCTTTTGGGGGATGAAGGGATTACCATTAGCTCCTCAACATGTATTAATGTTTGCAACAGCTACAAACCATCATGGGGCTGAAAGGGAAAGAAGGTGAACAGATCTTGTGTTGCTGTGCCTCCTCCAGTAAGTCTGTCCCTGTTGTTATTGCAGTGTCCAAAGGGAACAGGAGCTGAACCATGACTGTTTTTCTGCAGCAGAAGCTGGGTACCCGCTGGCCTCCTGAATACAAAACTGAAGTTTCATACTGTTTCCCTTGAATGGAAACAGCATGACGTGAGCGTGGAAAGAGTGGAACAGTATGTGAAGGGAAACAGGACTGAAAGGAGAGAACAGCTGACTCCAGGGGCTGAGCTGATCTGCCCCTTCTGCTTCACTGTGTGGGTTTGTTTTCAGCTCAGACCATCTTGGGTCTTGCAACACATCTCCACAGCTCTGGGCTGGAAAACGAAACAACTGCAAGGAGGTTGTTCCTTCTTCCTGCAACAAGCTTCTCAGCCTGTGGGAAATGAAAGCGAAGGCTGGACTTCAAAACAAGCTGAAAGTACTCAGATGCAGAAGTGCAGAGTGATGCCATTCAATAGAGTCAGATTTGGAACAGAGCCCTGAAAAAAACCTGCAGTTATGACTAATCCATTTTTAATGCGTGTGGTTGTAGGTAAAATCACTTATTTAAAAGATCATTTCTCTCCCTGTATTGGTTACAGTTCTTTACCGTCATTTTAGATAAATGATGTGTTGACACGTGAGTTCAGTTGCAGATGGACTGCAAGGACAGAAGTATTTCTGATGCTGGAGAGGCTCTGGGCGAGCTGCTGGTGAAAGGGAGAAATGATACAAACAGGATATTCAGTGTCAAGCTGCAGCAGCACCCTGAGAGACCCACCCAGGGGCAGACACTTGAATGCTCACTCTCTCCTGAAGCCAAGTTAACTGAGGAAACTTGACATAATAGTTGAGTGTAGAGCCCTGTTTGTGCAGGGACAAGCTCAGGCAGTGATATTTTAGAAGCTAAACAGTCTGAAATGGAAACTTTTAGTTGCACTGAACAAGTCTGTGAGGCACCACACAGTTTTACAGCGTAGCCTTTGAGTGCTTTTGTTTTGTGCTTGAGCTGTCCCAGCCTTGCTTGCTGGCCCCCTTGCAGGGATCCCTCAATGCTGTCACAGAGCCAGTGATGTTAACACACTGCTCTAGAGGGACCTGTGAATGTCCTGGGTGTAGTGATACCAGCCCAACACTTACAGACTTTGCAGTCTTATAATCAGTAAAGATGTGAATAGGAGCATGAAATCATTGCAAACCCACATTGACTGTGGTGGGGAACAGCACGGAGACTGTTTAGGCAGGTAGAAAAGAGCACAGCAAATCCAGTGGTGATGGGATATACTCAAAGACTCCCTCAGTCTGGCTAAGGGTGTGTGGTGTGGTGACAGAACCTGTAGTGACACGCAGTGCTCTGGGGGTGAAGGCTGCTCCCCGTGGTGTGTGTGTGTATCTGATACCCAGGAACAAAAGCAGTTGGTCTTTCCTGGTGTACACTGGAACGTGGTGCAATGCGATAGAGCAGCGGGGAACTCCTTGCTGGCTTCTTGCCCTCTGCGGATTCCTTCTGAATTAGGTGCTGACCTTTAAAGCAAAACCTGCTTTTTCGGTTTCTCATTGTTTAAATTCTGCACTGAAGCTTGAGAAACAAGTCTGTGAAGCTGCAGGTTTTTTTTTTTTTTTTTTTTTTTTTTTAAGCTCTAATTAGTAAAACACATAATAGGTTGGAAGGAGTCTGAAGGAGAGAATCACCAAATGGAAACTATTTTACAGATCTGGTACCTTTAGTTTTTTATTTTACTCCATTCCACAACAGTGTGGGCTTGTGTGGTGCTGGGCTTAAATCAGCACTAAAAATTGGTTGATATTAAAGACTGGTGCCTAACCCTCTCCTGCTGTTAAAGGGCACCTTTGCCTCTTGATCAAAATACCACCTTGTTGGCCCTCAGTGATTTGGAAACTCCAAGGTGCTCCTGCAGCCAGGGTTTTGTACTAGAACACTGCAGCTGCTTGGCATCAGCAGGAGTTTGGAGGTGAGAGAGGTGAAAACCATTATCCTGGCTAAAAATCTGGAGGTATTTAGGCAGAAGCTGATGGAAGAACCTCTTTCCCTTTTTGAGTGTTTTTAACATTACCATTGCTTTGGCTGTGTTTTCACAGTATTTCTCCATTTCTCATTCGGGCAGATTCTGACATTTCATGCAGATTATGAAGTGCTGGCCAAAGGGCAGCTGGAAGTGGGGCTCAGCTGTGGGTGGGAGGCAGCAGCTGTCCTGTGCCAGCGAGAGGCCTCAGCACAGCGCTTCAGCATCTGCAGGTGGGACTTGCACGAAACGTGAATATTTTTGGTTCCATCACAAGGCTTAATTTTCCAGAAGCACGAAGAGGTTCTTCAAGGCTGTGAGAGCCTAAAGCCTTGGATTTCTCCTGCCTCATCTGCCTGCTGGCACGCACAGCCACGTTGTCCCATTTACAAAGCATTTGATCTGTCAGTGACTCATTCCCAGGCTCCCTATCTGCACCAGCAAGGTGCTTCAGGGCTGAGTCGCACCCATGTATCAGCCCTGTTACTGTACCCTGTTATCAGCCACTCTTTTCACTCCTGGGGTGCTCCCGGCCTTTGATCTGTTCCTGAATTGCAGCAACAGCTTTTCTTGTTTTTTAATGCTTCATTACACTGTGCAGGGCCATCAGCCCTCCCCAAATGCTGCAATCTCTGCTGCTTGCATGCTGCTCTCACAAGTACATCCAGGGTTTTTCTTGAAAGCATGAAACTTATTACCCTCAGCCCTCAAACAATCATGGTGGAAATCAGTTTGCTTCAAGATGGCAATTTCCATCAGACGCTAACTACATGGCAGTGTAATGATATGGTTAATTATTCCCTTGCTTCTCCCTGCTGCATTTAGCTACTGCTTTTAAAAACTCATGGAACAAAGGCTGTTTACTTCATCCTTACAGCACCTGGTGCTGTGGGCTCTGACCAGTCTGTAAATCCTAATGTTACTGAGCAATCCTGAATCCTGTCTTCCAGCAGAAGTCCCTTTTTGCTGACCAGGCTGGATCTAGTTTAGTTTGAGGCTGATTCTGTCAAAGATAGAGACCCCAGTGGAAAGAAAGGTGCTCTGTGTGCTGAAGGACTGAAAGAGCTTTCTGTGTTTTACAGTTGATTTTTTTTTGCGTGGCAAATGGGCAAATGTGGGGACACACAACAATTTAAAATGTATTTGCTCAAGATCAGCGAAATTCATAGTAATTGTGGAAGAAACCAGTAGCAGCACCTGAGCTGGTTCTGCTGGAGGTCGTGCTTATCAGATGACCTAGCAAGACCTTGCTGGCTTGTAGGATTTGGGGCAGAAACTCCAGCACAACAAGCACATTCCTCAGAGAGCCTTCTGAGCAGCCAGCTCCTGCTGATGTGGTTGCAGAGCAGTGATCCCACTTGTTTTGTCCCTGCACTCAGGGGTGGGCCTTGGCTGTGCTGTGGGGTGGAGGACGGACAGACAGACGGACAGACAGATGGACAGAAGTGTTTGCTGCACCAGCTCATGCACGGGGAAGGCTGTGGCTGTGTCTTTGTCTGCTCATGGGGTCCAGCCAAGTGGCACAGCCCTGATCTGCAGCACGTCCCAAACGCTGAGTCCTGACCACGGTGCGCCGGTCCTGGCGTGATTTAAGTGATTAATCCCTCTCCTTCCACTGGCCAGGCTGGGCTTGTTTTGTTTATGCCTTGAAATCTCTCCTCCCCCCTATGCTGTGATCTGTGCCAAACTGTTTGGCAAGTTAGAAGCTCTGCCTGCTGCGTGGGCAGGAGAAGGGCACAGCGTGGTGCAGAAAATGTGTGAGATGTGGGCCAGGATGAGGCGAGGACCTGAGGCATCATTTGTGTGCTCAGTTCATGACTTGCCCAGCCTGTTTCACAGACCTGTAACTAATGATCCTTGACTATGTTTCAGGCCTGGCCTACAGTCACTAATTGTCAGTGTCCTGGGGCTCCTCCCAGGTTTTAATTGTCCCTATTAATATGATGGATGTGGGAAGAAAGGACACGCTGGAGAAAGGTGGCAGTGTTTTTGCTGCTGCCATTGTCACAATCAAGGCTGCCATTAAAGCTGCTTATTGGCATTTGCCCTCCTGTGAAATGTGCAGGTGAGCTATTTATAAATGTGCAGAGAGATTTTACATCTCTAGCTTGTGCTCTGATCTAAGAGTAATCCTCACCAGGAGGGCAGAATCTGTCCAGTACTGCAAAGGAGGTTAGTGGCAGAGCTGGAAATAATCCACCACTTGTGAGCCTCAGGGTTGGATGGGGTGGATTTCTGGGGGCAGGTGAGGAAATGGAGAAGCAGCATGTTGCTTCCCCACCAGCTCTGTCTGTTCCAGTATGATCTCCCATCCTCAGGGCAGAGAGAAGCACTTTTCCTGTTGCACAGCCCCCTCTCCTGTTCCCTGCTATTCCACACAGCAAAAGCACTCAGCTCTCTCCTGGGCTGCATCCAACCTTAGCCTTCACTCGCTTCTGCTTTTCATTTCTGGTGCAGATTCAGCCTGGTTTTCAAGAGGGAATGGCCCTTTTCCTGGAGCAGTCCAGTCACAGGCATGCAAGAGTTAGTGTCTGTATGTCTCAAAAATTCTTCTGAAAGTAGATACAGCTATTTGCTTCCATTATTCCTCTCCTGCAAGCTGCAAATGACCTCCCCTTTTAAAGCATGCAGTTTCCTGAAGAGCAAGATTAATGTAGCAGGATTATTAGTGCATCTGATTGTCTTTTACCTTTCCACATGAAGACTTGTTGGCCTAATAACAGAGAATAATAACAGAGTTATTATATAACAGAGAAGCTTCTCAGCCTGTCCTGAGTGGGAACATCATTCTTCTTCCTGACTCCCAGGTGTTGTTTGTGATGTTGTCTTTCCTTGACTTCATAAACTTGTTTGGAACTATCTTATATTCAATTTAAGGATGCTGATTAATGTTATTTCCAAAAGAAAATTGCTTTCATACCTGCTACGAAGTTTCCCTGTTTACTTCAGTTTGACGTGAAACTTTAGTAAACCCAGGAGCTGGAATTTGATGATCCTTGTGGGTCCCTTTCCAACTCAGAAGATTCTGTGATTTTATGTAGTTGAGGGAAATTATCTACCTTTGAGGCCTGCACCTCAACATCCAAAAGGCTCAGGTAGGATCACACAGACACGGATGCATCCCAACAGCCTAACTGCTGTAAGGAGGTTACTGTGATGTGGCTGTGCTCAGGAAATGAGATATTCTTGAGCTCTCCTGGCCTGCTGGCAGATCTGCAGGACACACTGCCCTCCCTTGGCAGTGGATGGGCTGTGGATCTGGGCTGAGGAACTCTCCTGAGCATCCATCCCTGTGGCCATGGAAGATTACTGGAACCTGGTATTGGCTGTGATTTATAAACTCAGTCAGAGGTGCAGACTTTGTAGGTGATTTCAACCTTCCCTCCAGGAGTTCATGACGAGATTTGTGTGAAGCTTCAGCACTGTGTGAAATCAACTGTGAGAAAAATAGCTTAGGAGTGATTTTATCGTTGTATGCAAGAAAGTGATGTAAGAAACTACAGAAATCTGCTAGACTGATTCTTGAGCATGCAATGGAAGACTTTAATCTGGTTTCACTTGTAAAT